TTACTATAGCAGTGAGTATCTCCCCCCCACTTTCCCCCTGAGAGCGCTGACCTTCCTCCTGCTGATGCAGTTCCTGTAAAGTGATGCAAAGCAGCAGTGTGGACAAAACACATTTCTTTTGGACTGTTTCCTGAAAGGTAAGAGAGAGGGCAATTCAGAGAAGAGGCTAAACTTATTGGACAATTTTGCGACTGGGTTCTTCACATAATTTCATGATGAAATAAAGATAACCCATGGATATTAAAATGTAATAACTCTTCACTTCAGATAAGATGAACTTGTGAGAAAAAAGGAAGGGCAACCAGAAACCTGTGATGACTTTAAAAAGCAGCGGCGGAACATTTTCCCGAGCCAGACTCTCTCATTTCATCTCTTTCTTTAGTTTAACAGCAAGTTGCATTGTGTATTTCATAGACTGGTATTTCATTAAGTTGTGTAAACATAATTTTTTCTCTCCCTCCGCCCTCAGCATCGCGTCCACACCATCCTGAATGCCGACCTGGTGATTGTGATGAAGCGGGGGGTGATCCAGGAGTACGACCGGCCCGAGGCCCTGCTGGAGAAGGAGGACAGCGTCTTCGGAGCCTTCGTGCGAGCAGACAAATAGCACAAGAACAGAAAGTGAGAAGAAGCATAAGAGGAAGGCATTCAAAGTGCAATTGTCCCATGAAAGATATATAAGAAGATATATCTTTTTATTTTTTAATCATGTTGTATAATATTTGTACATACAATTGTTAATTATTTGATAATAAAAGATAAAATATCATTAACATGCGTGTTTTTTTGGTTGGGGCTGTTTTGAAAAAGATATTGGATGGAGAATGTGTTGTGCTTGTGTGACAGAAACGTTATGACCTGTACAAAACACATGAGTTACTGGCCGATGCAGGGTGAACATGAGCTGAGGGATACATGATGCTGGAGGGCAAAGAACCAAAACACAGCATAGTATCATCTTCATATACTCAGATGCGTCAGAGTGGGAGGAGCAGCTGACTAATATAAGTCAGCTGCTGGCTGACTTATATTAGTTAAACGCCTTTCAAAGGAGCACAGTGGCTTGTAAAATAAAGTTTCCATGGGTGGTGTTGAAAGAGAAATGAGAGGGAAGAAACCCCAGGATGGGAGTTTAATTAGAAAACTAGATCTGGGTCCTATGGGGGAACAGCCGGCTTTCTATTCTTCTTAAGCCAAGTTTATATCGAAAAGCCTGAGGGTGATTTTCCATAGTGTCCTAAATTTAACCCATTACATATTCAAAGCGTAAGCTGCCTGTGGCTGCCCAACTGAACACATCTTTTAATGTGTGATGGGCCTACTCCTGCATTGCAAATCACAGGAAGGGCAGCACAGAGATGGTGGAGGGGAGGGGGGGACCTCCTCTCCACCTCTCATCGTCTCCATCTCACGTTACCGAGCTTTAGTGAAGTGGCAGAGTCAGCACAGAGCCAACTGTGCCACTACAGGCTGCCTTCTCACCCAAAGGTGCTCAAAGTCAGCCAGAGGCCCATTATGCTCCTGCACCTCTCACTTAATGCGCACCATCGGTGAGTGGATTCACGGTGGGACGGGGCGGCGCGTTGATACATTCCCGGTGTGTCGGTGGGTGCTGTGAGTGTCGGTGGGTGCTGTGAGTGTCGGTGGGTGCTGTGAGTGACGGCGGCAGCTGCGGAGCTGAAATAATTTGTTTTTCTCCTGGGACTTCGCGCCTGATCTAGAGGCAACGTGAGGAGCGCACATACCTCCAGAAAACGGACATGACCCTCCGTCCTGCACCCGACAGCTGCTGAGGAGCTCGGTTGGTAAAAACAGGCGTTGGGATAAAGATAAATATTTCCCTTTTCATGGGACTATAGTATGGGAGCGCTATGTTGTCCAGGAAAGGACTCATTCCTGAGGATTACTTGCTCACACGTTTGGCTGAGAATGTCCAGCAGCCGAAGTTTAAAGCCAAACCAAGGAAAGCTCGATTTGTCGCCAAGAATGGCACCTGCAATGTAGCACACACCAACATCCGAGAGCAAGGTCGATTCTTGCAGGACGTCTTCACAACTCTGGTGGATTTAAAATGGCTCCACACGCTCATCATTTTCACCATGTCCTTCCTGTGCAGCTGGCTCCTCTTCGGGATGATCTGGTGGCTCATTGCCTTTGCGCACGGCGACTTGCACCAGACAGACGAAGAGTTTGTCCCGTGCGTAACGAACATCCACTCCTTCTCCTCCGCTTTCCTCTTCTCCATAGAGGTGCAGGTGACAATCGGCTTTGGGGGCCGGATGGTCACGGAGGAATGCGTATCTGCCATCATCGTCCTGATTATACAGAACATCGTTGGGCTGCTCATTAACGCCATCATGCTTGGCTGCATCTTCATGAAAACTGCGCAGGCCCATCGGCGCGCAGAGACGCTCATTTTCAGCAAGCACGCCGTCATCTCCGTGCGGAACAACAAACTGTGCTTCATGATCCGCATCGGGGACCTGAGGAAAAGCATGATCATCAGCGCCACCGTACGGCTGCAGGTGGTCCGGAGCACCTCCACACAGGAGGGCGACGTGGTGCCTCTGGACCAGGTGGACATCCACATGGATAACCCGGTGGGCACCAATGGCATCTTCCTGGTGTCCCCGCTAATTATCTGTCACGTGATCGACAAGGACAGCCCTCTGTATTCGATGTCAGCTTTCGACCTGCAGCACGAGAACGTGGAGGTGGTGGCGGTGCTGGAGGGGGTGGTGGAGACCACGGGCATCACCATGCAGGCCAGGACCTCCTATGTGTCGGAGGAGATCCTGTGGGGCCAGCGCTTCGTGCCCACAGTCTCGGAGGAGGACGGCATGTACGCGGTGGACTACTCCAAGTTCGGGAACACGATGAAGGTCCCGACTCCCTCCTGCAGCGCCAAGAAGCTGGACGATGTGGGAGGCATCGCGCGCTTTAAGCTGAACGAGGGCGTCACCTTGCGGGCGACCGTGAGAAGGCGGCGGGCCTCCGCGGCCTCCCGCAGGTCCCGGATGGAAATGTAAAGATGTTTAATTGACAAATATGATTTTATGATTAATATATGTTGCTCTTATCAGTAATACACATCCCATTTCTATATGCAGACAGATATACGCACATCAACAAGCTTTTACTCAGGGTTAGTGTGGCTATGTACATAGATTGCATTGAGAATAACAGTGTGTAACTCTTATAAAAACTGGGGAGTTCTGGTACCCAGAATGAAAAGAAAGTCCAGTTTGGATGCGTTTGATTTCTTTGTTTTAATCAAAGGTGGCTGCATGTATTTATAAACAATAAAGGATAATATATGGAGCTCCATAATAATATCTCATATTAATAAGTGTGTTGTTTATAAGGAGTCTTAATCATGATTTGTAAAAAGGACAACGATTAATATTCTTTTCAAGCAGAAAATAACTTTAAATTGGTAAAGAAATCGAGACAAAGAACTATGCAATACATTTGTATAATGTCATAAATCGTCACTGTGGATAGATAAACTTTCCCGTCTGATTTATTGTTTTAGCTCTCACAACAGAGCAAAAAAGGAACATTTCCAACAGCAGAGGCTTAGATTTTCTGACTTCTTCTCCCTAGTATGATTCAAATATTCAAAAACGCAATCCTACAGTTCCCATAATACAACCGTCTATTCATTTGACCCTCCCTTCCTGGTGGTTGACATCCGTCCCTTTCAAAACATACCCCGGTTTACAAAAAAAGGCTTTCTGTTGGCAGTTTTTACTTCACAAAGCTCCTTCAGTAACAGAGCATATTAGAAACTGTGGGCCCTTCTCACTTCGGTTAAATGGATTCATTGCTTCCCTCACTTGCGTCGTTTCCCTGCGACTAGTCCCTCCCACCAGGGAAGCATGGAGAGATGCAAGGAAACCACGAGAAGCAGGGAAATTAGTTTTAAGAGCAATGGGACGTCCTTTCCTCCGGAGCGTCACGTGAAGCGACGTCCGTTTGTGATGACGCCGCACAGCTGATCGTCTGACAGCAGCCAGCTCTGTCCCCGTTATTTCCACACACACCCCCGCCTCTGTTAGTACATATTTACTGACACAAACATTTGTATCATCTGTTGTAGACCCAAATAAATAAAATAAAACAAGAACTCATTCTCAAAAAAGATAAACGCCATTCTTAAAATGTATAAACGAACAATAGTTTGATTAATATTGATTAGAGTGCACAAAATAAATAAAATAATTCAGAGAAGAAAAAGAGATATGTTATCTATCAAAACCCAGTTAGATTAACATTCATTGGATTGCACACTTTGTTTGTTTGTTTGGATATGTAGCAAATTAACATTTTAATAGCACTTAATGACTGATTGAATGGAAATGACAATAAATGAAAATATAAAACGAAAAAAGCGATCATGAAAATGTTTCCAAAAAATGAATAAAATGATTTTTGACCACTTTGTTGTTCAGATATATCACATATTTGTAACTAAATGATACATTAATTGAAACAAAACACGGTATAAACTGAGGAGTGACTCCCGTGAGGTTCATGTATTTTCTTCACTCCGCTGGGAAACTGCTCTCATGTCAAGAAGCATCAGATCAGTGCATGCACTGCATCGTCCAATCAGTGAGCGATACACAGTAAGGGGGCGGGGCGAGTGTCTGAGGATTTCATCGAAGGATGGTCTGGTGGTTCCTCGGTTATAGCTCCTCTATTATCGCTCTTCGCTCCTCGGTCCTCGGGCAAAAATAAGGCCATTGGGACGCTACTCAAGATGGCGCAGACAAATCAACTTCCGGTGAGACCGAGACCGAGGAGCAAGGAAATGAAAAATAAGAGAAATGAGAAGGGCCCTGTGTTTACAAACCGAGCAGCACTCCTCATGACCTGTAAAATAAATTGAGGTCCCTTTTAAAAATAGCATTGTGTTTATGAGGCTGAGCACAAGACGCTCATGTTTCCTTCGTCCTGAATAATCGACACACTGATAAAAAAAGACAGACACAAAATGGCATTTCTCTCTTTTATTAGATTATAATCCGCAGAGCTTAAAATATTAAATTGCTTTTAACTTAGTTAATAATTAAAATACATAAAAACGAGAGCCAAAACTGAAGAACCCTGCAAAAAAAATAAAAAATAAAATAAATAAAAAAGGAGAATTATAAACCCAATCCTCCTCCATACAGAGGCTATGTCTGATAGAACCCGAATGTGATTCTTTGTACAGTAAAGTCCAAGCAGACTGTGCATTTTCTATACATGTGTAATGATACCATTATTGTTATTATCTCTGAACTAATCTTCCTCTGATAATCTTTTTTAAAAAGCAAATTGTAAAAGGGGAGAGGTCAAACAATAATCCAGAAGTGGAGATTTGTGTTATTTTGCACTGGTACTGGTCACTGTTACACAGCAGAGCAGCTCCACACCATCCACTCCCACCCCTCTGTCTGTCTCCATCTCTGCCTCTGTGGGCCTGCAGACATTACCTCATGTCTTTGTCCTTTTGTGCTGCTGGAGCGGGTGGAGGTTTTTTGTGGGGGGGCTTCTGCTATGCTGAACACCAGCAAACAGCTCTGACTCAACCTCAGTCAGTCTGAAAGCATCACCTCTCTGATCAGATTAAATATCTAACATACAGTCTTTATTTTTTTCATTCTCCCTGTGTCTGTGACCTTCTCTTTATGTGTGCTGCCCTCTAGAGGTGGGCTCTGGGACATGTTTGTTAGGGGCAATGTGACTATAGTTAAACACCATCAACATCTGTCATGAAGGACTGAGCAGTCTGGTGGAAAAGGGACCGAGAACAGGGGAAATAAAGAGTTAAATTCTCTCTGGCAGCAGTGACGTATCTCTCAGGTCCTGAGTAGGAAGCGCTTTAATCATCCCACTCAAAAGCAACCCAAACAGTGATTGGCTAGTATCGCCCCGCCAGGCAGTAACGTGGCTCCCTATTGGCCAGCGCCAGCAGGGAGGAGGGGACCCCTCTCTCCACACATCAACAGCACTGTACAATAGTAGGTTGAAGCAAAGCAGAGCCCCCTTCCTGTACTTTATGTTAGGTAGAGGTCAGAGGGAGGTGAAGGGACACACTGCACCCCCCTCCCACAACAAAAAATAAAACTTCAACAAAATTAAAGTGAAATAAAACCAAAAAAAATAAAACATACACATACTTTTTGTTCCTAGTTTAAACTGCAGAGAAGATGGGAGGGATTTGCCCCTGGGAGGAACGCTCACGCCAATTCCTGCTGGCGTGACAAACCCCTCCCCGCCACCCCAAACCCCTCGAAACCCCCCCCACCTCCTCCTTCCTTCCTTCCTTCCTTCCTTCCTTCCGGCTGGTAGGATGGTGTTGTAGCGAAATATAAGGGTAGTGGAAGGTCTCTTAAGTCCTGCTGGCGCCCAGGAAGGGGGCCAGGCTGTCTTTCCTTCTCTCTATCTGATCTTCAATCACCCCGGGGCTGATGTCTCGCCGCCGCCCCCCCCCCCCACGCTCATCTCTCCGTCACATGGTTTTGTGAAGAAGGGGAGGGCGCCGAGTCTGGGGCTGAAGGTGCTGGGGTGGGCGCGGGTGGCGGGGCGGGGGCGCAGAGGATTTCGGACAGGTCGTCCATGATACAGGTCTCCTTGGGGTCGACCAGGTTGAATTCCCTTACGAAAATGATGAAATGTGCATACAGAGTGTTCAAGTGGCCCTGCAGGTCCAGAGCCACCGTCTCTTTAAAGTGCGCCCAGTAGAGATGAGCCAGCACGTGGAACAGGTATCGGCAGATCTTCTTCACCAAGGACTCAAAGGAGTTAGGAAACTCTTTGCCTGAAGAGAAAAGAAAACAGGAGAGACAGGATTAGGCACAATATTCACCATGAGGGAGATTAAAGGACTGCTGGTGTTTTAGAGTTTTGTAAATTGCCATTCAAAAAACCTGTACAATCAAAAAGTGGTCAAATTTACATTAAAAAAGAGGTTCCTTTGCCCTTTAAAACATTATTCAAAGCCTTATTAATTGATATACTAATATTCCCTCAAACAATCACAATATGTCCATTTATGATCCATATCCAGATAATTGTAATAAGCCTTTCTTTTAAAACTAAATAAACAATCAATTGATGAGGAAGTAATCGGCAGATTAAACGATGGGGAAAATGATTGTGAAATGCTATAAATATAATCAATATCCTTATGTTTAACTAGTCATTGACTCTCCATCTGAGGCGGCAGGGGGCAGCAGAACCACAGCAGATACTTCTAGCAGGCAGTAACCAGCACTTTGGCTCGACCAAAAATCGTTTAGAAATGTGCTGTATAAATAAAACTTGATTTGATTTGATAACCTTCAGAGGAAAACTCACCATATTTTGTGGGAAAGATTTCCTCATCTGTGACCAGTTTCTGACAAAGACTCATTACGAAGTCGACGTATTGTGGAGCAGTGCACTTCGTCTTCTTCCCCCTCTCGTCATACCAGTAGTATATTCTAAAAAGAGAAAAGAATAACATGAATCCCTGAATCACAAACACATTGCAAAATACCATGCAAGACATATCACTGTGATAGGTTTATTAATCATAGTGAATGTCTTGTAAAATATACTTGTGGTTGAAGACAAAGCGGCGCATTTCCTGGTGATGAAATGTATTCAAGCAGGAACAAAAACAACATGCAGGTGGCCTATGAGACATCCCTTATTTCCTAATTTAGGGAAAACCCATTGTCTCAGTGCCTTCTTGCTTTATAAATGACTCGGTGCAGATTAAGATACGGTCTAGCTGCACTACAACACAGCCTTATCCAGATAACATGATTCATTCTGGTGGACTTTCTCAACTCCCTGAACTGGAGCTTTCATTTCAAGATTGTGAACAATTCCTGCTGTTACAGGACCCCCCCCCCCCTCCGATCCCTCTGCTGATCAAATGTTTCCGGAGGGGATGACCCAGATAGCTGAAGTGTAGGCGGGCGGATCAGAGTTATAGTTAACAAATGTCAATCAGCAGGTCAGAGGCACAGAGCCAGTCACGCTAGAAGGTCACCAGACACCTTAGGAAGAGGATGAAGGAGCTAACCAGGGACTAGTAACCACGGAGACAAAAGACCAGCTGAGTGACCCGCAATCTGGAGAGGTCGATTAATAAACTGATGAGAAATGTGCATGCAGGTGTTTCTGTGGGCAATTAGAGGGTCTGGGAGGCAGTGGAGCAGACATTACAAATCCTGAGGAATGTAAGTGGTCCACATACCTGACCCTGATGACCACCAGACTCACTCAGGATTAGACTGACTGTGTTTGGGAGTGACGCTGACTAACCTACAAACACTCCGACATGATGAAACCTTGGCTCAAACAATATAAACAATTCTACGGAGGATAGTTTACTTACTGTTTATGAACAGATTGGTTATGGCATGAAAGGATTATATTAAATGTATTACACTTTTGAAAATATGTCTTATTGTATTGTTTTCTTTCTTTCTTTATTCTATACTGTTTATATAACCGTATATCATGTAATCTCCTATTGCCCCTCCGATCTCCAATCTCCTATAAATGGTTTCTGTTTATGTTGTGATGTTTATAAGTGATGATGAAATGGGAAGGGGGGGCCCACTGTGCAGTGATTGACACACCTGCGCAGTCTATATGTTTAAAGGATGTAATAAAAGCAATACAACACAACAAGCTGTGTCTGATTAACACCCCAAGGAGAAAAGTTTAGGTAAACAGATTAAATGATTGAGTTTAATGACTAGCTTAATGTTTCGCAAACTCTTTGCAAATAGGGAATTAAATATTTGATAGGAGATTTGTAAATGACTCTTGGTAAATGGGCTATAAGAACCCGACGCTAATGAACAGTGTGAGCACACATATCTCAAAACACACATCTATTCCCCCTCCCATACAAAATGAGTCTAAATAGCTACCAAATGGTTCCGTTCCCTCATAGCTCATGGAAACATTTTCTTCCAAAAATAGTGCCGAGCTCTGCCTTCGGGCAGGGGCACTGACGCTGCTGCGACTGTGGCTCAGTTCACCACAGAAAAGGGGGGGGGGGGGCAGCAGGTCCAGGCAGGAAAGGGTGTGGTGCTGGACAGCGGGCATTGGGGAAGGTTCAATCATACACAGTGTGCCTCCACTAAGAAACACAGTTCTATTGAATTCATTACCATTTAAGTGTAATCTGGGGTGGAGCTGTGAGAAGAACTCAAATGTTTTAAAGAATTGCGTCTGTTTTCCTTTGGTCAATAGACACTGCAAACAAAGACATGTTAATCCACACTGCTCTCTCCTCTCTCCACACACTGCAGGCGAAACCCTCTGGCTTCTAGCATTTGCTCAGGGTGTGGGTTCGTAGGAGTAGCTAAAGGTGACAGCAGTGGAAAAATCTACTGTTGACTGAGAGGTTAACTCCTGACTCTCAGCAAACCTGTCACATATGTGTCATCATCACTCAATGAATGTATTGTTTGTCATCGGTGCCTTTGTCATATTTGCACATGCGCTAGTAGACCGCATGTAATGTGTTGGGAGCAGTGTAGTGAGTGTTGTGGGGAATCAGGTTTTTCCAGCCTTCAGTGTACACAGGGGCAATGACGGAGACGAGAGCTCACACATAAAGACGCACCCCGCCCCGACAGGGCGAACGAGTTGGATAAATGCTTACAGTCAGTCGCCTCCCCTTCTGATAGCTTGGCATGAATGGCCCTCCATGTGATGATCCTATAACATGAACCGCTGCAGAGGCATGCCCTGTTTTACCGTGCAAAGAAACGGGTAACTGACTTGTATTATCCATTAATTAACCAGCATTCAACCTCCTAAAAACATCACAGGCCGTTTTTCTGAGGAATCTGCCCAGTGAGTTATTGGCAGCCCCATAGCTGGCATTAGCATAGTAACTAATGTCCTGAGGTTAATGGCTGACTTTTTTGGTCACAGTTTGATCACTGCTCTCCATCTAGGGACTTTTTGTGAAGTGGCTATAATGATGTTGGCAGACTTCATGTACCAGCAAGAAACACAGCCTGGACCAAAAGGGATGAAAGGTGAAGCATGCATGTGTCACCAGGATGTCTTTATTTATTTGTGTATCTCTGACTGCTCTGCTAAGGGCTCAGATGCAGCAGCTTCACTGTCTGTGAAAACTAAATGATGTCAAGGGGTAAAAAAACTGTCCGGTGCCTTGCTCATGGGCACCACGGCAGGGCAGGAGGTGAACTGGGACCTCTCCAAGTAGCAGTCCACACTCCATATTTTAGGTCTGGTCGGGGACTTGAACCGGCGACCCTACAGCTCCCAGTCCAAGCCCCTACTGACTGAGCAACTGCCGATGAGTAGGGACATTGGCAATAAGGATATTCTGAAACACTTACAGGGGTTTTTGCTTGTGTTTTGCAGCATAAACAATTGAAAACTTAACAAATAGTTTTTTAAAAGTGAAAATGGTTTTTGTCTTGACTTGTTCTGGGTCAAACCTGTGTGTGTGTAGCTTTGGATGTTAAGGAAAAGAGGGAATCGGGTCTTAAAACAACCCACTTCATTTGAGTTACTCAGACTGCTGAGCCCCATAGTGGATTATAGTTTTAAGACTTTTGTACGCAGTGCTGAATCACAGCTAGCATGGAGACACAATGTACATACTAAATGTATAAAGGCCTTTAGGTAAATAAACAGCTCACTGCAGTACGCAGACTCTGCATGCTGCACATTCCAGGACTATGTTGGACGTCCAAAGACTCAAATGAACCTGAGAGCACCCTCTGTGAGCCGTCCCTCGCTGACCAGGGAAACATCCCATGATGAATTAACCCATTTCTGATAAATAAACCAATGGAGCGCGGCAGGTGAGCGATGAATAAACCAAAAGCTCTGGAGATAACTTACGTGTTGCAGGCCGTCATGGCTTGACAGGTTTCTCCAGTGCAGAACTCTGAGATGGTGCTGTACTGCAGGTTGATAAGATTGAAGAACGTTGTCGCTGTAGCAAAGACAAACAGACATTTTGTTGTAAGTCAGTGTCTCATTTGTTATGCAGGAATACATCATAGTGTTGACACTAAAATAACAGCACAGAATGATGTGAATAACTCAAATACTGCCTGAACTTCAAAGAGGACTGTGTACTTTTCTACTGCATCTATCACTGTGATCAATGGGAAAGCAACATGCACAGCAATACATCACATACTCTAACAGCGTGTGAGGAAAAATGAAAATAATGGGAGGTGGTTGCAGCTTTCACAAGCATTTAAGTTGCTGTTCCAGTCACTTAACCCTGAAACAGGTATTTCTGCCAGTAGGGAAACTCCTACAGAGCCTGCTCTGCTGAAAACTGTCAGTGTGGATGTTGTTCGAGCCTAAAGCAAACTTAAATCATCTATGACATGCTGAACATTTTGAATTACATGAATTATAAAGGAAATATGAAGCTTCACAGGATACACCTTCTGATTAACCTGCATCTTATGATGTTAAATAAGGTGTAACAATCTACTATAAAGTTAAAGAAATGACCCAATTCTGAAAAAAGTATACTGCTTGTTTACACGAGTTGGAAGAAGGACATGGCTCCAGTCATTATTGATTTTGTTAACCAAACTATTTAATTAAAACAAAGCTCAGCCATTATGTTTTTGTTCAAGATAAATCCCAATTAGTAGTAGACACAAGTTGATACAAGTCAGCTTACATAACTTCTCATTACAAAACATTAACATGTGAAAACACGTCCTATCCGTTACTTAATTTCCCCTCACACTGGTTTGAATATGTTATCGAAAACAAAGGGAGGGAGACGGATGATGCTCAATAGGACAACAATATATTTCAATAGGAGTTAAAAGGCTGAAGCCGGAAGTGGTAGCTGGTGTTTAATGAAGCGCTGTGCGGTGTTATTGGGAACAGACTGGCGCGGTGCCAGGCCTGGATCGTGTTATGGGCTTGGCTCTGTCAGAGCTGCAGCTCCAGAAACATCTCGTCATTTCCAAACAAGTGCATACCAATTGGGAAAAACAATTCCAATGTTGCACAAGGGCCATGAATTTTGATTTGATAAATAAGATAATGTGCCCCTTTCACATTCTAAATATGGCCATGTTAAATTGCTAACAGCCTGTTGCCTGTACAGGACATCTTCCTCAGTTATGCGTTTGACTGTTTGAGCTCCTATATGTACCACACATATATTCTATCATTGACTACAGGGTAACTCACTGTTGCTGGCTAGCCATTCGTTGAGGTCTATCTCTCTGGGCAGCACCACCAGCTCCTTGAGGTCAAAGTCCACAACACGGATTTTTGTGTACTCCAGCTCCAAGTACTGCTTCTTCTCTTCTGCCGGAGGCTTCTTTCCATTTGGCTTCGCCTTCGACTTCCTGAAACACAGGAGAGAGGGGGAGAGGTTAAGGAGCTGCACATCTCTCGATCGAGCAATAAAAGAAAGCAAAGGTTGATGCGAATGGTTTAGTTGCCGTTTCATTTGACAGTGCAATGAATTGGATACACTTGACTGACTGGTTATGTTGTATGAAAAAGATACTCATAACCTGTACATTACCTCAGCTCAGGCATAGAAGTATACAAAACAAGACACTTGAATCGCCAGACTCTCACAAAAATCACAGAAAAACGTTACTTTTCAAAAACTGCATTCACAGAGACCTGAACAAAGGGTCCTCTGTTTCTGTACCTGAGCCCTAACTCTGACCTCTGACCTGATGTTAGGTCTTTAGCTTCCACTCAGACAGCCGTCTCCAGCGCCTTGTACTTCCACTGCTAGTTTTAGCACCGGGATGTCATATCACACTCTTCCTGCACTTCCAGGGCTGTAACCCCCCCCCCCCCAGCCCCTGTCTGTATCAATGGAAGCAGTGCAATCTGGGGTCGAAGGTTGAAATCCTTGTCTGGGAAAATCAGAGGCTAATGTAATCGACAGTATCTGTTCAATGCTTTCCTTCCCCTGTGATGACTTTATCCCTTCATCTTCATTTTGCTCCATCTTGGCTCGGCTACCGTTGTTTGGGGTGGCTTCAGGACAAGGGAGTTCAGTTTGCTGCATGAATTTATTGCGCTTTTGTTGACCCTCATTTCCGCCCGTCTTGCGCTCAGCCCTTCAATCAGTTCTCATTGCTCCTCTCTCCACACCCTCTGTCTAAACACAATGATCCAGCCATGGGTTCCTGGCTCTGTCCCCTTTCCTCCCCAGTCCCACTCCCTGTAGACGGCAGCTCCGGCTCCGGCTCCTGGACTGGAGAGAGCTGTTCTCACAGCACTAATGACTGTTTTCCAGCAGCAGTTAAACCCCTCTCACTTTTACTCAGGCCATGCTGCACCATGGCTGGACTTTACAGAAGAGAAGCGATGAATGTTGGGGTTCGATGCACAGTCCACATGCAGCCTGAGAGATTAGGAATATATTTAGAAAGGATAGAGGGCCGAGGGGGGAGAAAGGAATGAGGAGAGGACGTAGATCCACACAGGCCCAGCTGATATCCATGGGAACTAATAAACACTGTGGAGCACGAGACCAGTTGAATTCCCTCCCCAGGAAGCGTAGCCCTGCTTTCCGCCTCAGCAAACAAGGGGAGGCATGTCAACATGTGGATGCATACAGAGCCAGCAGCCGTTTACTTTGTGAATGTTTAAGTTTCCCCCCTTGCATGTCCGCTGTAGTCTAATTTAGCTGTTAGGAGAAATGCTTAGCTGTAAACTGCCTGTGGGCCTCATGTAAAAAAGCTAAGACTTGAAGGACCAACACTTGCACAATCACGTCCGCGGACACACAGGACTCTGCTCAGGTTCTCATTAGTTGGGTAATGATTCATCAAGGTGCTCGGCTCTTCCTATCAGGCAGCTGCAGAGCGTGTTTTGGCCTCATTTGAAAAACCGAGGACACTGCAGGCTAATTATTAATGTGAGGCCACTTTCTCTTTCACCCCCCCCCCCCCCCAACAATATATTGTCTTTCTTTAGGCTTGTAGGAAGGTGTTTCCACACTTTTCTCTTCATGGCTGCAGGCTCACCTGTCCAAACTGCCTATTGTTCAGGGTCAAAAGCCTCAGGCCTCATGTTCATCTTTGCCCTCTCCTTCTTCTCTCTTTGGCCTTTTCCTTTATCTTTTGGTCTTCACCTTTAACGCTATGACCTCTACTCTGACTCACATTTGAACTCAAGTTTCTTTTTGCTTTTCCCCGAAAGCTCTTTCCCGTCACTGTTTTGCTAACTCGTTTGGTTTCTCCTTATCTGTCTGCGTTCCTTCTCCCCCTCAAATCAGACGACAAACCCTCTTCCTGCTCATAAGGACACGGACAGATTCATGTGGTATGTGTGGTTTTGCGCGGTGAGCTACATGTTCCATCACGTGAAAGAGCTTTACCCGAGCTTCATCCATAGATACCGTCACAACTTTTCAAAGGCTCAGCTAAGCTCCTCATAAGAAATGCTTTGCTCCTGGAAAAAGGTTCAAGTCAGTTCTTCGCCCCCCTTTCTTTTCCTTTTGAAAGCATTCTGTTTCCCTGAGCTATTTCCTGCCTCTGTAATTTCATCATTTTCCACAAAACGCCCCCTCCACCTCTAGCGAACATTTGTGTGGTGAGGGGAGATGAAATTCTGGAGCCATTAGTTTATTTTAGGATAAAGAGAACTTCCTCTCTGCCAGCTCTCCTCCCCTCATACGTGCATAGTCTGTCTTCGCTGCAACATACACACAGGCTTTTGTCTGTTCTTGATAAAGTTCTCCCAGGCAAGTCTTTGCCATAAAAGGCAGCAGATGTCTCTTTCTCCCTCACCAGATCAGTGACAGATCAGGGCAGGCCAGAAGGCAGGAGTGGAGGGGAAGTGAGGCCGGGGCCGGGCACATGTCTCCCGGGCCGGGGGGGGGGGGGGGAGACGACCACAGCCTGCCTGGCACCAACAGGAACCAGACAGACTCTTGATCCAAAAACATAGTCAAGCTTGGTGGAATAACACCATGAGAAAGTCACATGTACAAAACTGATTTCTTTTGATCTTATTAAGGAGAGGTGGAGGGCGTGAAGCAGGAAGACAGACATGCTGGTGTTTATCTGCAATAAAACACAATAAGGAAGCCGGGTTGTATAGTCGGGTGACACCGAGGTCAGTGCTGCAGAGGCTGAGGAGTGACAGCTGTTCAACTGTGTCTGTTAACGACTCTCTTATCCCTTTTACTTTTCCCAGCAACACCACCTGCCCCAGCCCCCTGCCGTCTTCACCAACTCATTTTCCTTCTGTCCCACTACAAGTACCCATCGAACGAACTATGTTGCACGCACAAACACCTGTGACTTTAAGAAAACACACACGATCTAACACACGTCGCTGGCTGTTGCTCCCTTCCCTTTCAGCTGGTCACAACAGCTGCGTCACAAGCCTGATCCCAGCACAGGGCTCGAGAAAAAACAGAAGAAGAGAGTCTTGTTTGGTCTGAGAGAGTGCGCCTGGGCAAGCACGTGTGTGACGACAAGTGTGTGCATGCCATATTGATTTTAAGTGCGCCAAACATACATCTCTCTGTCCTCACACTGGTGCAAATATGAGCTGCTGTGTGTTAGCTGAATACCGAATAAACTTAAGGAGGAGCCCTCTGGCAGGTTCACCATTCTCATTACCAGAACCTGGTTCCAATTAATCCTGGAACCACTCGAGGCCACATTACAGAGCTGCGCCGGAGAATTAGTTTAAGTGCTATCTCTAAAACACTGCAATTTGCTACTAAAGAGCTCCCTCTCATCGCTTTGCACCCACATACACAGAGCAATGTTTCAAAAGGGGAACATTTCAGACCATGCTAGTTATATATTTGGTAATGATATCAACATTCAAACAACCATTCATAGACACTGATGCTCATGCTATAGGTTAAAAAGTAGAGGATATACATTTTGTATTAAGGGGCTGTCTTTGATGAAAACAGCATAACTCTAAAACCAGTTTAACAAAGCTCATTGAATCACTTTCCTCAAGACTGCACATACACACACACATACATATATATATATATATAGCACAATGAATGCTTCTAGAACACCATGGAATTGAGCTATTAGCATATGGAAGCAATTAATGTAATCTGCGAGGGTACATAAACACATAAACAGCGTGCATGAGCATCCATCAATGACAAGACACAGACAATCTTTTCTAAGACAGACGAGTCCTGAGGGATTTTCTTAGACTGCAAACTTATCCTACATGTAGAATCTTCATTTCAGGAACAAAACATCTAAAAACAAATACAAGACATTTTTGTTACCTCTTTGGAACAAGATGAGACCATTCAGGTTGCCAAAACATGCTTCTCCGTGTCGCACCCTGTTGTGAATACAGTACTGTTTGACTAGAAAACAGCCCCTTGAGTCTATAAAATGGTTATGAGAGAGAACAGGCACCAGAAACCATAATCAGAGGACTTCGTCCCAGGTGCATTCAGGTGCTGTTTACACGGGAACGAAACAGGTTGTATCCGCTACTTTTCTCTTTCGTATAGCCCGTTCGTTCACACGAGGCCGTAAAAGAACCGCGGAAACGGACCCCGCAAACGATAACGGGTCCCAAGGTGGATAGATCTGCGGACGGAACACTCTGGGGGGCCAAACGGCTCTGTGTGTACGTCCTATACGATCATTTCCTGATAACGATGAAGCCATAGCCCCGCCTCTCCCCACCTCTGCTGCTCACTGCTGTAGCATGGTCAGTAGCTACTGACCATGCTACAGATGTTAGTGCAACATCTACAGCTCCTCTACCACAACCATCAGCAACAAGTGGACATGGAGAAAGTTCATGAACTACATGCTGCTAAATCCACCGCGGAGAATAAACAGAAGGGCAACCAGGCAACCAGGCAACCATGCTCGGGGGTCTTCTTCGCCGCTTTTGGTGTATTTTGTGGCGGAAGTACAGCGCCACTTACAGGCCCAGCATATGTACTACAGCGTCTCCAGCGGGTCGAGCGGTCTCGTGTGAAGGGACATGTTTATTGAGCCGTATCCGTGTGAACGGAATACTTTTTTGATATCGAATTCGGTTCGTTTTCATTTCCGTGTAAATGGGGCCTAAGGAAATCAAACACTTCAAACTGACCTTTAGACAAACACCTGAGAGTGAATCAATTGAATGTCAGGAAGGCTCCTACTGATTATAAGGTTCACAGCATTGAAGGGTTAGAAAAACTGCAATCAAAAATCAATAGCAACAGGATATCTCTCTAATCTCCGATAAGAATGGAACTGAGAGAACTAACTTGAGCCATTTTGTAAAAAGAGTAGCTTCAGTCAGGAGGATCAGTTTTCTCGTAGTCTGGCCTCCTGATCTATTTCAAGATTTAAATTGAATAGACTCAATGGCCCTTTTCCCC